ATCATCATCATCATCATCATCATCATCATCATCATCATCATCATCGTCATCGCCGTCATTATCATCATAATCGTCCCCATCCCCTCATCATCGCCCCTCCTTCCACTCATTATCATCGTCATCATCCCTCCCCTCCCGTCCCTCCTCCCTCCCCTCCAGCCCCTCCTGCTGCCGCTGCTTCCCTTTCCGCTCACCAGAAGACAGAAAGAGAGCGAGGAGGATAGAGAGACAGAGACAGAGACAGAGACAGAGAGAGAGAGAGAGACGCACGCACGCACGCACGCACAAACGCACACACACGCGCTCTGGCGGCCGCATGAAACGTAGACTGAAAGAGAAAACGCGCCGCATTGAATAGCAATATCCCTAATGAACCTTAGTGAACCTTGAGGAAGACGCCCAAGACGGCCCCCCAAGCCCCCCAGACGGCCCCAGACGGCTCCAAAGGACCCCCCCAGACGGCGAGTGGGACCCCAGGATGGCCCAAGAGGGCCCCCAGACGGGGGTGAATCGGGGGGAGGGGTTGGTTGGTTGGTGTGGGGGGGGGGCTGGGGGGCCAGACCCGGTGTCTTTCAACAACAACAACAACAACAACAACAACAACAACAACAACAACAACAACAACAACAACGACGACGACGACGACGACGACGACGACGACGGGACCGACGACGACGCGACGACGACGACGACGACGACGACACGGACAACGACAAACGACAACGACAACGACAACGGCAACGACAACGACAACGACAACGACAACGACAGACACACGACAACGACAACGACAACGACAACGACAACAACACCAACACCAACACCAACACCAACACCAACACCAACACCAACACCAACACCAACACCAACACCAACACCAACACCACCAACAACAACAATGATTTTAAGACTGCTCGCCCTTATATGCTCGAGTGTCCGATAACGCGTATTTCCCAAACCCTCGATACCCGCCCTCTTCGTCTTCGCTCGAACCCCTTTTGGGGGGTATACCTTCCTTCCCTGCAGGCCGGGCCCCGGAAAGCGGCGGGACGGCCGCGGACCGTCGGCCTGGCCAGCGGCAGCGCTGATCGGCGGGGCGGCTGCGAACCGTCGACCCGACCCCAAGAGGGACGGACAGGGGACCGACCACGACGATGACGACGACGACGACGACGACGACGTCGAAGACGACGGCGACGACGACGACGACGGCGACGACGAGCGAAAGCGAGAGCGAGAGAGAACGACAGCAGGGCCACGAAGGGCACGAAGTAGGCCACGAAGGGCGACAGCGGGGACACGAAGGGAATGCGTATGGGGCCACGAAGAGCGCGACCGAGCGGGGGCCACGAAGTGCAGATAATGCGGGGCCACAGAAGGCAACTATGGGGCCACTGAGGGTAGCAACTGGGCCACGTAGGACAGTGAGGGGGGACACAAATGGCGACAGCGGGGCCACGAAGGGCATGCACATGGGGCCACAACGGGCGCGACTCCTGGGTGCCTGGGTGTCGGGAGCGCGGCGCTTGGGCAAATTGCAGGGAATTCCAACGCAAGGCCATTTTTCAGTACGTTGCAAGCAAGTCTTCCAGCGAGAGCGCGCTCCAGCGAGAGCGCGGACTCCAGAGCGCCCGCTGGGAGAACGATTCTGAATAAATTATAAGGAAGTCCCACTGCGAGAGCGCGATTTCCTGGACACATTAAATAAAATGCGAAGAAGTCTCGGGCGGGAGCGGGGGTCCTGCCTAAATTGTAAGGAAGTCTCAGGCGGGAACCGTTGTTGTTGTAGTCCGGGGGCCAGGGGGCCAGTTTGACCATGAAGACTTTCCCTGTAAAAAAAACAGGGTGCGAGCGTCGAGGGAACACTTTGATTGAGAAAAAAAAACCAATATTTTGCACGGTGGGGCGTGACAACCATAATCTAAATCATCAGAAATGAAAATTTCAACAACAACAACAACAAACAAAAACACACAACAATCATTTTACCCGAACGCTCAGTGTTCTCCCCAGTGCCAGGGTTTTCATGCGACGCCAGCCAATACCCCACTTCGTGGGGGGGCAATGCAAGCTCTACCAAACATCCACACGACTCTCGGGAACCACCCACACCCAGCTTCCCGCCCTATGACGTCAGGACACTTCACTTCGTGGCGCGCGGACGATCGTGGATACTACACTGGCGCGGAGTACACACCCGCAGAGGTTGATCACTTGTTTGGGCCCCGCATGTGCCCCGCATCGTGCATTTGTTGCGCATGACATACATAGTACAAAGACAGAGAGATAGAGAGAGAGAGAGAGAGAGAGCAAGACAAAGAGCCAGAGGAGAGAGAGATAGAAAGAGATTCGCAAGGGATTCTGGCCCCTGGCAGGCGCGCGAACCCCGTTGCAAGAGCGTGCGAAAGTAGCTCGCGCGAGCTCATGTAACATAAATGTTGGAAAACCATTGGTTTTTTTAGGATTCGGACAGCGCGCGCGGGGGGAAATTTTGAAAAGTCGTGCAGGTGTTTTTCGAGGACCTACGGTGCGATTCGTGTGATTTTATGATGCGCGGTGCTAAAATTCTTAAGAAGCCCAATGGTTTTTGGAGATTTCGGCGTGCGCGCGCAAAGAAAAAACGAATGTGTCCCGCATGGTATTATTTGACAGGGATGATGGCCCTGGCAGGTGCGCAACCGTTGTCGCAGAAGTTCGAAAAAAGTTGCTCGCAAAAGCCCGTTGGACAGAAATGTTTAAAAAGTGTTGGTTTTCCTACGAATCCGCAAGAGCGCGCGGGATGAGATTTTGACATTTGTTTGTTGAAAAACCATTGGTTTTTTGATGTTTTTATGTTAAAATCGCTCCGAACACTAAGCTTTTGGAAGGATTTCGTCTTGCGCGCGCGAATGTCCACTTTACTTTATTTTTTTGCAAGGGATTCTTGAAATTTGATTATATTAGAACAAGAAATGTCATTTTATAGTGTTTTTTTGCAAGGGAAAACGGATTACAACAAAACAACCGGATCTTGATCAACTCGAATTACCTGAGGCTTCCTCACGAAAATGATGAAAACGTGGCTGCGGCCTAGGCGCGGCGGGGGGGGGCGCGCACCAGGGGGCCCAACAATAATTATTCTTTAGAATTAATAATGTTCCACAACAACAACAACAACAACAACAATCATTTAAGACTGGGGACACTCCGTTCTCACCAGTGCCAGGGTTTTCATAGGAGGCGGGCAATACCCCCACTTTGTGGGGGGGCCGGTTCAAGCTCTACCAAGTTTCCAAACGACTCTGCGACACCACCCACACCCAGCTTCCCGCCCTATGACGTTCGGACACTTCACTTCGTGGCCTGCGGACGACCTTGGCTACTACACTGGCGCATGGTTACAATGACTTCTTGTGGTAACATCTTGTGGTTTTTGGAGATTTCGGCGTGCGCGCGCGCGAAGAAAAAACGAATGTGTCCCGCATGGTATTATTTGACAGGGATGATGGCCCTGGCAGGTGCGCAACCGTTGTCGCAGAAGTTCGAAAAAGTTGCTCGCAAAAGCCCGTTGACAGAAATGTTTAAAAAAGTGTTGGGTTTCCTACGAATCCGCAAGAGCGCGCGGGATGAGATTTTGACAGTTTTTTGTTGAAAAACCATTGGTTTTTTGATGTTTTTATGTTAAAATCGCTGCGAACACTAAGGTTTTGGAAGGATTTCGTATTGCGCGCGCGAATGTCCACTTTACCTTATTTTTTGCAAGGGATTCTTGAAATTTGATTATATTAGAACAAGAAATGTCATTTTATAGTGTTTTTTGCAGGGGAAAACGGATTACAACAAAACAACCGGATCTTGATCACCTCGAATTACCTGAGGCTTCCTCACGAAAATGATGAAAACGTGGCTGCGGCCTAGGCGCGGCGGGGGGGGCGTGCACCAGGGGGCCCAACAATAATTATTCTTTAGAAGTAATAATATTCAACAACACCAACAACAACAACAACAACAACAACAACAATAACAACAACAACAACAACAACAACAGCAACAACAGCAGCAGCATCTGCAGCAACAGCAGCAGCAACAACAACAATAACAACAGCAAAAGCAACAACAATAGCAACAACAAAACGTCCCCAGACTATATGTTGACTAGTTCTGAATGCTCCTCCTGTAGAGGGGCATGCCCGACTTGAAGGGAGGCGGGGATGGGGAGGGGGAGGTCCTCTGGGCTCCCCCTCCCATCCCCACCTGCTGCTCCTCCTGAGGGGTCCTCCTCCTCCTCCTCTGCCCTATGCCCTCTCCGTCGTCGGCCTTTTCCTCTTTCTTCCCGGCCCCCATCTTGGCGGTTCGACGACGGCTTCGGCGTCGCAATTCTCCTCCTCCTCCTCCTCCTCCTCCTCCTCGTCCTTCTCCTCCCGAGGAGGTCGGCGAAGGGAAGGAGGAGGAGGACGGGGAGGGAGAGGAAGCTCGGCAGAGCCACCCCGTGTGCATTTCGATGGCGGACGGGGCGGGAGAAGGAGCTCAGCAGAGCCGTCCCGTGGGGATTTCGATTCTGCGCTGGCACGGCAGCGAAGGTGGACTGCTCATGTTGACTTCATCGAAGAGGACAGGGGAACGGGATGGGGATGGGATGCGGAGGGGAGTCGGAGGGAGAGGGGAAGCAGGGGTCCCCTGTAGACTGTCTCGGCTCCGGAGGTGGGCTGGCGGGTGGGATGGAAGGTGGGGGGATGGAAGCGGGCACAGAACACAAGGGAATTATCGGAGGCAAGGACCAGGGGCGGGGACAGAGGACGAGGGACGGAGACGTGGACGGGGACACGGAGGGGAAGGAGGGGAGGGGGGGAGGGAAGAGAGAGAGGGCGGGAGGGGGAAGGGAGAGGGGAGGAGACTGGGAGGCGGAGGGAGGGGGGAGGGGAGGGAGGGGAGGGAGGGGAGGGGAGGAGGGGAGGAACGCGTGGAGGGCGAGGGAGCGAAGAGAAAGAGAGGGCGGGAAGCGGAGAGAGAGGGCGGAAGGCGGGGAGCCCAGGCAGCCGCCTGGAGCACGACGGCCGGCCCGGCCGGCGCGCTCCGTGCCTCGGCTCCACGCGTTGGGGGCGGGCGGGACCAGCGGCAGGCCCGGGGAGCGGTCGGCCGCGCGCGGTACGTCGCCGGGGAGGGCCCCAGAGAAGAGGGCCAAAGGTCCACCCCCATATAAGAACCACCCCGTCCTCCTCCTCCTCCTCCTCCTCCTCCGCCTCCTCCTCCTCCTCCTCCTCCGACGACGACGACGACGACGACGACGACGACGACACGCGCAGTCGGTCGGCAGACGCGCCGAGAGAGGGAAGCGGGCACGGCAAGGCCGTTGGGCCAACGCCCAGGGCCGCTCCGCAAACGCCAAAGGTCGGGTCCCGGTGGGCTCCGAGGAGCTGCTCGTTGCCGGCGTCCCGGGCGCGGTGCTCCGAGGTCCGTCCCAAGATCGGGAGCGGCCAAGAGGGGGGTGTCCAAGAGGGGGGGTGCAAATCATGACCGGCGGCATGTGCGCGGCCCAGCGGGGAGGCCAGGGACGTAATGAAACAAGAAGAGGCGCCATGAAATCTGGGGAAATATCATGGGCGACGCCATGATATACACCCCCCCGTAGTCATCACCCCCTCTTTTCCGCCCCCGACAAGAGGGGCCTGTCGGCGGGCCCCGGGGCCAGAGGCAGGAGCGGAGCCTGGGCGGAAGGCTGCCCCCGGGGAAGCAGTCGGGACTTCTGGGGCCGCGGGCTGGAAGAGCACATCTCGGAGGACGTCCGGGGAGGAGGAGGAGGAGGAGGAGGAGGAGGAGGAGGAGGAGGAGGAATCGGCGGATTCGGGATCGGGGTCGCCCTGCCGGATCAGGCAGGCTGCCCCGCCGCGGAAGGGGGAGAAGGATGAAGAGGAGAGAGGGGAGAGAGAGGGAGGAGGGGGAATAGAAGCGGGAGCCAGGAACGGGGCACGGGAAGCAGGGAACAAAAAAAGACGGGGGAGGGAGGAGGGAACGGGGAAGAGGTACGTACGGGGCAACTACGGCGGGCCAGCGAGAAGAAGGAGGAAGGAACTCGGGAAGAGGGGAAGACGGAAAAGAGGGAGCAGGGAAGGATCGGATCGGCTCGGACGGCAGGCACGTCCAGCGACACTGCTGGCCGTCGGGGCCACGAGCGACAGCCAGGGCCAGCACGGATGTAAACAGCGTGCGCTGCCGCCCTGCCTTGGCGGACATGCTGCCGTCCGTTCCCGGCCCTCCTTCCTATTTTCGGGGGCGCGCAAGCATGGATTAGCGATCCATGGATTTGGCGCGCGGTCGCCAAATCCATGTTTGCGATCGCCTGATATTCTATGGGCCATCATCCGGCAGGCGGGATCCCACGGGATGTCGAACGGCAGGGCTCGGGGATGGACAGAACCCAATTCAGCGAAACGCGGGTTCGTGAAAGCGACCTCGGGCCCAACCGGCGGGCGCAAGCCTGGAAAATGACGGCCGCGGCGCCCTCTCGAGAACCGAAAACGCAAAACTCACTAATCGACGTGTCAGGGTGGGGGCTCTGTCCACCCCCAAAAGGCGAATGTCCACACCGTACTTCGTGCGGCCAGGGTCCAGCGTCTGTTACAAAACAGGAAGGAGAGGAACGGAGTCGAGTGGGGTGTGTTAGAAAGACACTTGACCGCGTAGCTCGACGAGGGAAACCCCTGCTCGGACCACTCAAGAGATCCAGACCTCCGAACGATACTGACGGCTTCTTGCGGCTGTGCTGGACTGCACCCCGACATCCGACAGCGTGAAGCATCACAGCGAAATAGAAAAGTATAAGACCTGTGTTCTCGGCCCCCTTTCCTACCGCAAGATCCTCGAGCCCGCCCAACGCGTGAGGACACCATCGTCGTGATGTTGTTCGCGCTGTCCGGATGTTTGGGGGCCCCCCCCTCTGGTAGAGTCTCGGGCCATGCGTGGCTCGGACCTCTCGGGGAGCCGCTCGGGACGGCCCCAGCGCCCCTGGGAACGCTAACGAAGAGACGCTGCTGCTTGAGGAGCACAGGGGCCCGAAGGTCATGAATCTCCGAAGAGCTGCGAGACCTCCCTCTGGCATCAGGGCAAGCGGTCCTGGAAGGAAAGGGGTCCTGGACGCCACGGCTTCCCCCTCCCAGAGCACGGAGAGCCCCAGGGCGCCGGACAAAAATACCCGGCGACGGTACCCAAACCCATCCGAATCGCCAGGATCACATGGGCACATCCCGGATCTAAACTGATATGACAAGGAAGGACATGTTCTGTGAAACAATGTGAAGGCATACGCGTTGCACGCCCCGCGTGTCAGATTTCAGCCAGCACCGAAGGATATGAGATGGAGGAAAGAAAAACAAACGAGGTCTCGCTTGGGTCACCGTGGGGCCTCACTCCACGGAACCTCCCAGGAGCTCCCGAAACTGGCCACAATACCGCAGATGGCACCCATTTAACGCGAAGTTGCGCTTGGGCCCGCGTAAGACCGCACTCCGCTGGACTCCCCAAGATCTCACGAAACTGGCAGTTGGCAGACCACAGGGAGGCGAGGGCAATCTCTTGGAAATGTGGAATTCCCCACTCCGCTGGACTTCGCAAGAACTCACGGAACTGCCAACGGTTGCGCAGCCTTCAGGACGTCGCTCTGCTGGACCTCCCACCAGCTTGCGAAAGTGGCGACGACTGCGCAGATGGCAGTCCCCAGGGAGATGAGGTCTACACAGTCAGGATGCATCGAAAGCTCCGCTGCGCTGGACCTCAAGGACCTCACGAAAGCTGCGACGGCTGCTCAGTTGACAGCATCCAGGGAAGCGAAGGACCTGCCAGGAACTCAGGACACCAGCGACGGTTGATGCGCGGTGGGCAGCCCAAAAAGAGGCGAGGTCTAGTTGTGATCCCTTTAGCTCGGCATTCCGTTGGGCCTCACAGGAGCTCACAAAACTGGCGATGGTTGTGCAACCGGCAGCCCCAAAAAAACGAGTCTTAGTTGTGTCCAATTTCGCCCCGCACTCCGCTGGACCTCCCAGGAGCTCACGACAGTGGCGGCAAAATGCGCAGTTGACAGCCTCCGGGGAGGTGAGGTCCAGTCTGGATGGCCGCATTCAAAGCCCCGCCCCGCTGGACCTCCCAAGGGCTCATGAAAGTGACGACGGCTGCACAGTTGAAGAGCCCCAGGGAAGCCATGTCTAGTTTGGATGCCTTCGGGCCATCGCTCCGCTGGACCTCCAAGAGGCTCACGAAAGTGGCGACAGCTGCGCAGGTGGCAGCCTCCATGGAGCAGAGCAGAGCAGAGCAGAACGCGCCATTGCCCGCCCAGGCGGCGAGGCCTAGAAGGCCGGCGCGGGCGGGCCGGAGCCCTCGGAGGTGAATGTTCTCGACCATTGGTGCTGTGTGCTGCGTGTGCTGTAGAAACGCTGCTTCCAGGCTGCTCCATTCTTGCTGTCATGCGCTAGCGTGAGCCATCGTTGGTTGTCTCGTTCGAAGGGCGTGGGTGCTTCGAATAACTTCATGATATCATCCTCCCACCTTTTCGGCTGGCCTCCGTGTCTGCGTAGCGCTGGCCGGCTGTCGCGGATGTCTGGCTCCCGTGACACAGCAAGCCGTGCCCACCTGTCGCATCTCAATTCGGCGACTCTTCCTGCCCACCGCCACTTGTGTCTGAAATATGTCGTCGCCTACTCGTCCATGTTGGCCCGTTTCGCAATGTCTGTTGCTGTGTGTGTAGGAAATCTCCCCACGGTTCTAAGTCGGTCTCGTCGTCGCCGTCTTCGAGGCCCGGCTGCGTTCTGCTCTCGTCCGAACTGGCGTCTATTCTGTTTGCGTCGTCGAGGTGAATCTCGTCGTTGGAGCCGTCGCCGCTGCCAATTGCGATGCCGTTGCGTCTCGTTCGCTTCCTCGAGGCGTTCACACTGAGTCGTAACATTCGTCGTTGGGCACGTCGAATTTTTCCCGGAAAGGGCATAAGCCCAGGGTTCTCTTTTAGATGGTTTACCCCCGGTTTCGACTTGAGGTGGGCCAGCGAATTTCTTTCGCGATAAATATCGAGGTCGAGGTGGGCCAGCGAATAAAATGTTGAGGATGTCTCGAGCGAAAAGCTTGTTTTCAGAATTTGTTGAGGATGCCTCCAGCGAAACGCTTGTTTTGTGTTATAGATTATCCTCTCCTGGGGCCCAGAATTCAGAGGATCTCTGAAGTGAAATGCTTGTTTTCACGTGCCCAGGTCTTGAGGATGTCTCGAGCGGGACGCTTGGTTTCACGCCTCCTGGCTGCCCAGGCGGAGGTCTAGCGCCAGGATTTGTTGAGGATGTCTCGAGCGAGACGCTTAGTTTCACGTGTCCTCGTCGCCCAGGCGGATGTCTAGCATGAGGATGTGTTGACGAAGTCTCGATCGAGATGCTTGTTTGCACGTGTCCATGTTGCCCAGGCGGATGCCTAGCATGAAGATGTGTTGAGAATGTCTTGAAGGATACGCTTGTTTTCACGTGTCCAGATCGCCCAGGCAGATGTCTAACATGAAAATGTGTTGAGGATGTCTCGAGCGAGACGTTTGCTTTCACGTGTACAGGTCGCCCAGGCGGATGTCTAAAATGAGGAGGTGTTGAAAACGTCTCGAGCGAAACGCTTGTTTTCACGCGCCCAGGTCACCCAGGCGGACGTCTCACATGAAGTTGTGTTGAGGATGTCTCGAGCGAACCACTTGTTTTCACGTGTCCAGCTCGCCCAGGCGGATGCCTAGCATGAGAATGTGTTGAGGATGTGTTGAGCGAAACGCTTGTTTTCACGTGTCCAGGTCGCTCAGGCGGATGTCTAGCATGAGGATGTTGACACGATGTCTCGAGCGAAACGCTTGTCCCGAGCACGTTCCGTAGCGCGTCCCCTTGGCACGTCCCGCGGTGCGACCCCATGGCACGTCCCCTGGCACGTCGCTTGGCGCGTCCCTTGAGACGTTCCGCGGCGCGTCCTCCTGGCATGTCCCCCTGTCAATGAGCTCTGGGGCAGCTACTACGTGTTTAGGCAGCTCGAGCTTACGATCCAGATCAGTTCGGTCAGGACTCGGATGCAAAGGGGGA